ATTCATTTTCCTCCATCCCTCCCTCCTTCCCTTCCTCTTCATTCTGAGACAGATTCTTCCCATGTTGGGTTATCCTCAAATTCCGGGCATGAGAAATCTGCACTCCTTACCCACCCCCACCCCAAGCAATGGGGACTACAGGTGCATTCCATGGCAGCCCTTCAGTTCACGAAATTCTTGAGACAAAAGGAAAACCAGGTTTTAGTTTTTACTCTTACTGCCCCTTGCCATTGTGGAGGGGAGCTAGTGTTCCTGCCCTGGTTAGGAATTATGAAAGTTACCTGAGCACAAAGTGACGGGGTGATGCGGGCTATCTTTAAGTTGGGGTACCCAGCAGGGACTCATATCAAGGAATATGTAAATGTGAGCCATTTTCCACTTCCTGCAGCTTGGGGTGTGCCACATATACAGGGATCTTATTCCTCCTCAGTCATTTCTTTTCCATCTTTCCTCCTGTTCTTGTGAGGTGTTGGAGGGCACAGAGAGCACTGCCATATGTAAGCATCAGGCTCCTTAGGTGTGGGTGGCTAGTTCTTGGTCTCATTAGACACTATCGTGGATGTTCCTGGAGACCCATAAGGCACTGCTGTAGAAGTTTCTGGAGATTGATAAGGTATGTCTGTAGATGCTTCTAGAGACCCATGAGGCAATGCTGTGGATGTTTCTGGAGACCAATAAGGTGTGTTGTAGATGTTTCTGGACATCTTCTGTCTCTGAACACTTCACCTACAGTATGAGGTGCTCATGTCCCTGTGTCCTAGCCGAATGCCAACTCTTTTATTGGGGGGGGCGCTGAGCCTCCTTATAGTTTCCTATACCTGAGCTTCCTATAGTCTCTAAGAAACAACCACGCCTTTGAGAGTCTGACAGGATGACCTCTCGTCCCTTTTCTACACAGATTCTGACACCAGCCTGTTTGTCCATTCCCAACATGAGCCACCTAAACTCCACTAGATGCCTCTTGGCTTGACTTGTGAAGGGGATGGCCTCCTTCATAACTCACTCTGGAAGGAGTCCTGATCACAATAAACCTGCCTCCTCTGAGAATCCCATCTCTGTTTGACCTTCCATGTGGGGGAAAATCATAGAGACCCCTCTCCAAGGTAGGCTCTTTCCAGCTCACTCTGGTATCACAGTCTGTCATCTTAGATCTCAGCAGAAACTTCCGTTTGACCATTTTGCCCCACATACTATCCTTAAGTTCATTCACTCTACCGGCATTCCTGCACTCACGTGATATGCCAGAAACTGAGTTTGGCAGTGAAAATAATTTTAACATTTCCTTCCTAAAGGAATTCACAGACTAGTTAGATATGTTAGCAAAAAAAAAAAAAAAAAAGCGTGGCACCGTGTCCTAAATGTTGGACAGACCGAAGCATGAGATGCCATGTAGCAAATCACTCAATTGGGGGGGGAAAGAGGGCGGGGATGCAGGCTGCAGGGATGAGTCGACAAAATTCTCAGTAGACCGAGTACCTGACCTAAGCTTTACGTTTTAAGTAGGCCCTTTCTCAGAAACAAAATAACACCCTTTTAAGTCCTTGAAATCTCCATTGTGAATGCTTGTTTCTCAGGAACTCATTTTGAAAACAAGCAGAGGTAATGTGAAGAACCAGTCAGAGAATTCCCTGGTGTCTGCTGTTTGCTGCACATCTGTTACTGTGGAAAAGAAAAGAACATAAGTACCTTTGATAAACTTCCTGGATCCCACCCATGAAGGCAACCCTGGAATGTTGTCTCAGGCCCCTGAAGAAGCACAGCCAACAAGACCAGAAGGGGCACACCCTGGGAGCATTCCCCAGCTTGGGGGAGGTAACAGGGGCAGGGTCTTCTCAGGGACACAGCAGAGGGAAAGGCAAAACAAAACCAGAATGAGTAGCAAAGTGGACGATGGGAGTGCTAAAACTATCTCCGAAATCAAAACGCAGACATGATCAGACATACACACGGCTCTTAAGGCATCCCAGAACAGAGCAGCATATCAGGGAGCTGCGTTTGCTTGTGCGTCTTTCACAGAATGACTGCAAACAGCCGCCCCTTGGGTTCTTTCTTCTCTCTAGCTTCCTGGTCAATAACTTTTCATGCAGTTTAAGATCTTTCCCCTTGTTAATACTGCCATTTCTTTCTGCCATCAGTGTGCCTTAGTATAGCACATCTTATCTCACCAACGTGACAGCTCATCCAGGGCTGGAAGACCACAGTGCTAGTTCAGATCAGCACACTGTCCTTGAGGAAGAAGACTAAGAGCCACTTAGCTGGAGTGGAAACTGAGTTAACAAAAAGAGAAAAGCTGTCTGGTTTCCTAACCTTTGATGGTCATTGAAATGAGCCCAGCAGACAGAGCACTTACCGTACTGTCTTTTGGTCCTAGCAAATGTCTTTTCCGCTCTGCAGTAAACTCCTTGAGGAAAGGTCCATATCATCTGCTCCTCTGTTGTCCTCCTGTGTCGAGTGTTCTCCTTGGCCTGTCAAAGTGGCTCCATGTGCTTGATGACTATTTTAGGTGCTAGGATTCAGCAGGTTACATGCAAAGCCCTGATGTGGTATAGCTTCCCTTTGGGTTAGAGCATGCTGGAAAGGTAATTAACAGTATGCCACTGAATATGCCACTCAGTAAGTTGGCAAAGATGGGTGGGGGACACTTGGATACGTACTTAAGATACACAGAGGCTCTCGTACACTGTAAGGCAGGGAGACTTTGCATTCCACCACCCCTATGACTAGTATGAGTTTCATCGGGACAAATAGCATATAACCTGTAATCCCTAGCAGTGTCTAATACATGGTGAGTAGCTCATAAATATGTGACATAAGAAATTGCATCTGTAACTACAGACTTAATAAGAATTCAATAGCTGTTGTTAAGGCAAAACCTGTTCTGGGGAGCTTTTTTGTGCTGTTCCATGGTTAGTTCTGTTGGATACCCAGGCTGGCTTGGCTTTGTGCTCTCAGACTTTATCTTGGATTAAAAGAATTGGACTGAACCAAGCCCTTTGAATGTGGGTGCCAGTTAGGAGGCCTGGGCAGTCTATGAGACCTCTAACACTGGAGCCAGTGTTTATCCCTAGTGCACAAATGAACTTTGAGAGCCCATTCCCTATGGAGGGGTACTATTGCAATCCAGATACACGAAAGAATGTAACAGACTTTGATATTCCCCAGTGGAAGGCCTCACTATCCTTGGGGGGTGTATGGAGGTTGGGTTGGGGAATTGGTGGGGGCCATGGGAGGATGGGAAGGAGAGGGAACTGGGATTGATATGTAAAATAAGATTGTTTCCAAAATTAAAAAATAAAAAGAAGCCCTGTAAAACTGCCCAAGGAAATCTAGCCCTCCGTTTCTGTGCATTCACAAAGGGCTTTGCCTTCTCCATTGTATGTCCCTAGAGACCTCAATACACAGTTATTTATTAAGCCCAGGATGTATGGTACCAGATGTACCCTTAACTGTTCATTGTTTTTTATTATTGTCAGAGAAAAACAAGTTGCTGCCAGAAAGCGTGGTTTAATTGAGGACCTTAAGGGAAGTGAAAAAATTTACAATATTCTTGCCTGTTACAAGCCTGTCTTTGAGTTTTGGTGTTTGGTTTTGTTGTTTTTTGAGATTATAATAGAATTACAACATCTCTCCCTTCCCTTTCCTCCCTCCAAATCCTCTCATATACCCCTCCCCATTCTCCTTAAAATTCATAGCCACTAGCTGGGTGTTGGTGGTGCATGTCTTTAATCCCAGCACTTGGGGGAGGCAAAGTCAGGCTGATCTTTGTGAGTTCGAGGCCACCCTGGTCTACAGAGTGATTTCCAGGACAACCTCCAAAGCAATACAGAGAAAGAGAAACCCTGTCTCAAAAAAAATTCATGGTCACTTTTTTCATTAGCTGCATATATGTATGTACAAATATATTCCTAAGTATAACCTGTTGAGTACATATAAGGTTATTTGTTTGTATGTTTCCAGGGCTGACCATTTGGCACTGTTAACACTCTTTCCAGTGGAAGACCATATTTCCCCTCCCATCCATTTCCTGTAGTTTTTTTTTTTACAGGGTTAAGACCTCACGGGCTTTTCCTTGTCCTGTTTGGCATGGCCATTGGTGTCATCCTTGTTCATTTCTCATTTGGGCAGTCACACTGGCGAGACTTTGAGGGTGTAGCTTCTGATGTTACTAGGAGAGAAGGTCTTAGAAGAAAGTCCCTGATCCTGGGCCCTTACAATCCCCCTCCCCCACCTCGCTCACTATGTTCCCTGAGCTTTAGGCATAAAGAGGTTTTGTAGGTGTATCCCCTGGGTCCGGACTCTACAGCTCTGCATTTGTTTTCTGCCATGATCTCTGTTGGAAAGAGCAGTTTCCTTGGTGAGGAATGAGGACTACACTTTTCTGTGGGCACAAGAGCACATGCTTACAGCTTGTTGTTAGGGATTATGCTGGCTTAGTAAATTGGCTGTAGATTCCCCTCCGGTAACCATGACTTCACTAGCACTGAGTAGTTAACTAGGTTTCTGGGACCAGCCATTGGTTCCCTCTTGATGAGAAGGTCTTAAGTTCAGTTAGAGAACTGTTGGTTACTCCCCAAATATGTGTGTTACCACTCTACCCTTGTGGTTATCATGCCATGCTGGGTGTCCATGTGGTTTACAATCATCCTAGCTGGGGAGGACTGCTGGCTACCTTATTCCTTTGAATCCTGCCTGCCTGGTGCCTTCTGGTCCATTCCAGCTCACAGGTCTCTAGGCCTGGTATCAGACGTGCACGGTTCAGTAGTAGGGACTTACCTTCCACCTCTGAGTGGTAGCCAAGGGTAACAACAATAAGCTGGTTTGTGAGTTCCTTGGACAGACATGATCTACAACTCAAATGAGGGCTTCTGTGCTGGTATTGGGGTGTTTTGTTACGTGGTGTTCAGCTTCTTGAGGGAATGCCATCAATTCAGATGGCAAAAGTTCCTTAAAACCATATATGTAAATCTATACATGTACCACAGGGTTTGTTTTTAGGTAAATGTTTAATGGTATGATTCCTTGAGGGCTTTTTCAGACACTTCTATTGTTACTTGACTCATGTCTCTCCTCCTCCTGTGTTTACCTCCCTTCCCCCCCAATAAGCACCTCCTCTTCCTGTTTCCTCATCAGACCACTTGCGTCCTGCAATAGAGAACATGGGACATTTTTCTGTCATGATCAAGTTCCATCCATTGGCCTGCAAAGTTCATGCAGGCCTCCCTCTCTCCCTCCCTCCCTCCCTCCCTCCCTCCCTTCTTCCCTTCCCTCCTTCCTTCCTTACTCAACGTTCTTTGCTGTTTCCATTTACCAGGAAGCGATGGCGAGAATGAGCAAAGTGGGGAAAGTTGTGTTCCCGAGCCGTGAGCATACAAAGTAAGTCCGTATTTCTGTGGGAAGCTGCCAGGGAAAGAGAGCACCAAAGAAGGTGCAACTGTTGGTGTGAGATGGACCTTACATCTGGGGGGGGACCTGGGATTGACCCTTGTGCTCTTTTCACTTAGAGGTGGAAAGATATTCCTCCCAAGGAGAGAACTCTGCTTCACCAAGATGCAGAGCTAGACTAGCCAGAGCTCCCGAACTCTCAGACCAGGGTTTTCACCCTAATCACAGGAAGAAATCTGTCTCTCTCTGCTTTCTCGTATGGGGATCTTTTATGTCCCATCGAAGGACCAGGTGGTGCTCTTCTACCCTTTGTGTTGTTTGGCATTGGAAGCTAGAAAATGCTCCATGTTTAAAAACAAGTCAACAAAATGCGTATTTATTATTTGCTTACTTATTTATTATTATTCAAAACATATGCTAAGCTCTCAGCAGCCTGCAGAGAACAATGAGACACTACCCGAATTGTTCACAGAGATGATTGCAAGTCACATGGACAGATCCTTCCATAGAAAACCCAGCAGGTGACAGTGTAACCCAAAGAAGAAAGAACAGAGACCCTACAGGGACAAAGGAAAGCCATTGTGAGAAGACAGAATTCCAACGTACTTTAACTCCAAGGCAGAAAAGAATGTTCCTGGTAGAGGAATCTACCATATGCAAAGGACCAGCTTTTATACCGAGATCTCTATAAACAGCTCATAATTCCAAAACTCAAAGACGAGATGAGGAAGTGAGGCAGAGAGGCCATGCTGAAGACCCTCCTGGGGTCGGAACAGAGTTTTAAGCAGTGGCGAGACCTGCGCAAGTGGAGATTGGGGAAGTTCATTCATACAGGATCGCTTCCAGAGAGCCAAGTGAGGAGGCTATGTCGAAGGCGGTCGGAGCAGCTCATGTCAGCAATCAGGGATCACTAAGAAGTCACTTGTGATGAGTCTGAAGATGAAGGGACAGGAAATGGAGGAAAACACTTGAGGTTGAGACCTTACTATGCCACTGAATGGAAGAACAAAGATCCGTATTGGAGAGTTTGAAATACCCACCCAAAGAACAATCCAGTTTCATTTTCTTCTGTTTCCAAAGGGAGTCAGACTGCTACAGCCCCTGCAATGTCAACCCCTGTCTGACTGGCGAAGGAGCAGGCTTGGTATGTGGCACTCAACCTCCGAACCTGGAGACTTCCCTCCCAGTGGCTGGGGAAGCTGGGGAGTGTCCGCCTGAGGGCACCTCGAATAGCCCTTGTTTGTTCGCAATGGAAAACAGATTGTCCCTCTTCATCTCTTTCGTGACCCTCTCAAGACTTTTCAGGGAAGTGTTTTTAAGTTCTTTCGGTAAAAATCCATGTATTTCAATTGAAAAGACTGGCGTGTTGATGGCCCCTGGCAGGGTTTCAGTGAAGCGACCATACAGTACTATACCGCCATCTGCAGGCAGCATAAAAATTGCAACCAGAAAGCCGGAGCCCTTTTTGCCTTCCTGTCTCTTGACTTCAAATCTCATTAACTTTATGGGATGTTTTCTTGGTCCTGAGCCGCACAAGAGCGATTGCTTGAAAGGAGGAGAATTTAGAAGATAACTCAGCTGGCAGGCTGTATGTGAACTTAATGTCTAATTAAATAACTGTAGTTCAATAAGCAAATGTTTAGGATGACTCCAATTAATTCAGCCTTAAAAGGATGGATCTTAGGGTTTATGTTAAGGGACAAAGACAATTTCAAGAGGACAAATGGCAAGGTATAAATGAATCCAGTGAAAGGAGTTTCAGTAAAGTTTGTTACCCATAAAAGCCTTCAAGTTTGTGGGAAGGGCGGCAGAGCAAAGCTCACCTCTAAGGGTTTGGAGATTCCAAAGTTAGGAGTCAATCTCATATCACAGAAGAGTGGCACAACCTTATATTGTCACAGAATACCATTATAAGCATAAATGTCTTTCTAAAATGCATTCTATAACTGACAGTTGACAGGGTGGGGTTTAGCAGTATCTCACAATCCTAGATTGGGTAAAATATTAGAATATGAATTATTTCAAAGCAGCAACTAGTACTTACATTATTTACTGTGTAAGTCATTGTTCTTATGTTTTTTATATATTGCTCAGTCCTCAAAACATTTCTGCAGTATATCCCATAAATATCTCTAGGTGAAGATGAGGAAATTTATGCACAAACAAACGGGTGTATCATGTCCAAGGTTACACAGGTAGTCATGGGCTGTGCTGGGATTCAAACTCTGGCCTCAAATCCCCTTCTTAGCTGTGGGTTTGGTGCCACCACAGCTTCTACATTACCAGAATGCTTAAGGTAGAAATGTTTATCAATTACGCATTTCTGTGTTCACCCAAGGTTTCTCTTACAACCTCCCCCACCCCAGTGTACAATGGTAAACGTCCTGATATGAAATCTTCGTCAGAGAACCCCATTGTCTACCAGATCATGTTGAAGTGGATTCCCCCACTGCATGTCAGCCCCCCTACCAAGGAGAGTAAGGACAGAGTTCTGAGACTTCAGGTGTGTCCATACCATTGCTATCCTTGCCGGATGGTGATGGCTAAGCCACTCAAGCCACTAAACCACTCATAGTTCTAACAGATCTCACCCGAAGAGTCAGGTAGAGACAGCAGGTTAGCAAGGCCACTACCAGACACTTGAGGGCGGGGCTAGGTACAGGAAGACCTTGGTCACATTTCCAAGAGGTTTACTCCTGGGTGAGGCTGTCTGCCAAACACACTGACATGTGGAAATTGCAAGAGGGATTAAAATGCCTAGTCTTGTATCTGGCCAAGCTGCAGTCTTCACCTGCGGCTACTCACACAAGTATGTTAACTTAAGCTTGGAATTGGGAGGAGGGTACCAAGCCTAAGCCTTTCGGTGCGTGTCCTGGAGGCACAGAAGTCAGTCCCTTCTACGTATGTGTCTCTGCTACTCTTTAGGCTGCACCACTGTAGATATGCCTTGCCAACCAAATGCCTACGTCATTAGATATGAGCATACTAACCAGCTGCTGTGCACACTCAAAACTTGGGAGGGTTCAGCCTGACTATAACAGACATTTTCCCGTCCTTCTAAATAAGAAGGGAAGTCATGTGATAGTTATCATTTTGAGAATGTTTAATATGTGCTGTTTTGTACCCCACAGGTATTATGACAAGAAGTATCAAGTATTTCTGAAGATGGTTGAGCACCAGAAGGAGTATTCGGCAATCATGAATGGAGACTGAACAGCGTTTGTGGGTGCCAATCCATAAAGATTCTGTGCCATTTGTTAGGTGTCCCTGCGTGCCCATCTTATAATCAATGCCCTTTGGGTATCATGTTGGCATGTCTGACTCATCTTCTAATAAAATCTTTGGCATGCACAAGTGTATCTAGAGTTGCTCATGTCCATGTCCAGATGCTGGAGTTGTTTACTTGGCAGTTTCTAAGGTGCTTCCCTGGTAGCAGAATCTCTGTAAAGTATTATGGGATCCAAAACCAGACCTGGGACAATCATCCCTCCTGTGGAGACTTGTTCATTCTTTCCATGTCAGATCTACACTGCATTAAGTAGAATAACCTGGGGCTCATTTTGTGTACTGTATTATGTTGGCTCCTTGTACACTTTAGGGTCAGATACCACATTTAACTGCAGGACATTTTGCAACCATCATATTAAAGATAGGGAGTCAGCCATTGATCCTGGAGGAAAATTTGACAAGTAACAGGATGTATAAATGTTCTTAAAAATGGTACTTCACAGAGAATTGTTTGCAAAATAAAAAAACAAGAATGTTAAGTATACAAGGAAACAGAGCACCACATACTATCTCTACTGGCTTCAGATGGCCAAATGTGCACCCTGTGATTCTAGAGGTGGTTGCCTGACAAAGGAACAACATCACCCTTGCTGGGAATGCGTAGTCCAAATTTAATGGTTAGGAAATCCCAGATAAACCTCAAAGGAGGAACATTCCATTTCCCAGAGCTATATTATTTAAAACTGTGTATCATAAAGACAAAGACTAAGAAAAGTTTCTAGATTAAGGAAATTAAAGAGACATGGTAGTTAAGTAGCTTTTAAAGTAAGAATGTTTGTGAAAACTAGGTGTTTTGACACTATACCAAACACATACAAAAAGACATACACATGTGTGCGTACACATACAGCCACTGTATTGGTTATTTTCCCATTATCATGTCATATACTTGACAAGAAACAACGTAAAATGAGAATGATTGATTTGGGCTCATGGTTTAAAACTCCACTCCATCTAGGTAAGAAAGCCATACCCTGGAATGTAGGGGTCACTTATGCACATTGCAACAGACCAGAAAGCCAAGACAGCTGTAAAAATCAAGACACCCCCACCCCAAGATTCTCCAGCCAGATCCCACCTCAAACAGTACCACCGTATGGGAACCGAGTGTTTACAAATATTCATTTGACACCCAAACTTCAACCACAAAAATCACCCGTGGTTACATACCCGTGCTTTAACTAATGCCAATTCTAATGCCATGACTCAGGTGGGTTTGGGTAGAGGACGTATTGACAACAACAGCATACGAGAGCAACACAATGCTGTCTACAGGCATTCTTTGAAGTAATTGCTGGGTCTTAGGTATTGTGCTATAAACAAGAGTACAGGATAGATACAACATGGTCTCTGCCCTCAGAGAATTCCCTGTCTATTGAGATATGGACAGGAAAACGAGTCACAGTATATCATGAATGCTTCAGTCAGAAAAATGTGGAAGGAGAAGGGGATTACAAGTGGCATGAAAAGCATCATACCGTAGGATTTCTCTCTTTCTTAGAAACTATGTGACTTGGAAATGTTTCTTAACCCTTGTAAGTGAATATTTTAATACTGCTCACCTCATTCCTATAATGGAGTAGTTCTGGTTGGTCTTTGAACACTTGAAGCAGACCTAGACATATCTGGGAAGCAGCAATCTTAGCTGTGGGAATGCCTCTATCAGATGGACCTGTGGTGAGTCTTTGGGGTATTAATGACTGATGTAGGTGGACACAGCCAATATA